CCAACTCAGCCCCTAATGGTGTTGTTTCTTTGCAAGCGGCAAAGAGTGGTGCTCTTAATGAAGAGATGAGAAGGAAGGCATAGGGTTCTTCATCTTAGTCTGAGGTACTTATCACAGAAAATAGGGGGAGAAGTCAGAAAAGAGAACTGAAGGGTAGTAGATAGAAGAGCAGGAGCAAGTCCAAGTCAAGATACAAGAATGTGGAGTGTTATTATTGTAATAAACCTGGGCATATCCAAAAGAATTGTTTTCTATGGAAAAAGGAAAACAAAGGCAAGAAAAGTAAGCAGAAAGAGAAGGATCATGATGATGATCGTGTTGCTACTGCTACTTGTGGTGATCTTGTTATTCTCAGTGACCATGTTTAGGGTTTTGGAGTGATCTTCACATCTTACATTTCTAGTGATTTTGGAGTGTTGAAGATGGGTAATGATGGTGTGTCTAAAGTGATTGGTGTTGGTGATGTTTGCCTACAAACCAACATGGGAATGCAGTTGTTGCTTAGAGGAGTCAAACATGCTCCTGATGTTCATTTTAATTTGAGCTCTGTGCAGATGCTTGACGATGGTGGTTATGATAACCACTTTGGTTCTGGAAAGTGAAAACTCACTAAAGGTAACTTGGTTGTGGTTAAAGGGGAGAAAAATTCTAAACTGTATTGGACTAAAGCTTTGGTTACTAAGGACAGTGTGAATGCTATGTATATGGAGGGATCTTTGTGGCACCTAAGGCTTGGTCATATCAGTGAAAAAGGGCTTAATTGCTTGGCTAAAAAGAATGTGTTTTTGGGATTGAGAAGTGCAGAGTTGGAGAAATGTTCTCATTGCATGGCTGGTAAACAAACTAGAGTATCCTTTAATAAGCATTCTCCCTCAAGAAAGTCAAAGTTGCTTGAATTGGTGCATTCTGATGTATGTGGTCCATTGAAGGTAAAGTCATTTAGTGGTGCACTTTACTTTTACTTTTATTGATGATTGTTCCAGGAAGCTATGGGTCTATGCATTGCAAAGGAAGGACCAAGTGCTTGAAAAGTTCAAAGAATTTCATGCTTTTGTTGAGAGGCAGTCAGGCAAGAAGCTGAAACGCATTCGTACTGACAATGGTGGTGAGTACCGTGGACCCTTTGATGTCTATTGCAAGCAGCAGGGTATCAGACATGAAAAGACTCCTCATAAAACTCCTCAATTGAATGGTTTAGTGGAGAGGATGAATAGGACATTGCTTGAGAGGGTGAGATGTATGCTCTCAGATGCTAATTTACCTAAGCATTTTTGGGGTGAGGCACTATATACGGCACTACATGTTATTAATCTCACTCCTACTGTTATTCTTGATAGTGAGGTGCCGGACAAAATTTGGTTTGGCAAAAATGCTAGTTATGATTACTTGCGTGTCTTCGGTTGTAAGGCATTTGTTCATGTTCCAAAGGATGAAAGATCCAAATTGGATACGAAGACAAGATAATGTATCTTTATTGGTTATGGTCAGGATGAATTTGGCTACAGGTTATATGATCCTATTGAAAAGAAGCTTGTTAGAAGCCGTGATGTGCAGTTCATGGAAGACCAAACCATTGAAGATATTAACAAGGTGGAGAAGACTACACCCGAGAAAGATAATAATTTGACTAATGGTAATCCCATGCGGTTGCCTGTTCACAATCTAGATAATGTTGAGACTGATGCTCCGAATGATGAGCAACATGGTGATGTTGATGATCAACATAATGGGGATGTATTAGAAGTTCCTTTTGATGATGCTCAAGAGGAACATGATATGGTACATGATGATGATCTTGATAATGATCATGAATTACCACAACTCCCTCCTAGGAGGTCCAACAGTTTGAGACACTTGTCTTCCAGGTATTCTTCTGATGAGTATGTGACCTTGACTGATGGAGGTGAACCTGAGTGTTTTGAAGAGGCTTTGGAAAGTGAAGAAAAGAAAAAATGGTTGGATAAAATGAAAGATGAGATGAAATCCTTGCATGATACTCACACTTATGACTTGGTGAAATTGCCTAAGGGCAAGAGGGCCTTAGAGAACAGGTGGATTTTCAGGGTAAAACAAGAAAGTAATTCTACATTTCCAAGGTACAAAGCCAGATTAGTGGTGAAAGGGTTTAGACAGATAAAGGGTGTTGATTTCAATGAGATTTTCTCACCTGTGGTGAAGATGTCATCCATTAGAACTGTATTAAGTTTAATTGCTACTCTTGATTTAGAGGTTGAGCAGATGGATGTGAAAACAACTTTCCTTCATGGTAATTTGGAGGAAGAGATTTACATGAAACAACCCGATGGTTTTCTTGTTGAAGGCAAGGAAGACTATGTGTGTAGGTTGAGAAAAAGCCTATATGGTTTGAAGCAGGTTCCAAGACAGTGGTATAAGAAGTTTGAGTCTTTTATGTGTGAGCAAGGCTACAAGAAGACTACTTCTGATCATTGTGTCTTTGTTAAAAAAATTTCTGATGATGACTTTATTATCCTATTATTGTATGTTGATGACATGCTTATTGTTGGGAAAAATGTTTCCAGGATTGACAGGTTAAAGAAGCATCTAGGCGAGTCATTTGCCATAAAAGACTTGGGAGCTGCTAAAAAGATTCTTGTATTAGTATCACACGTGATAGAAAAGAGAAGAAGCTTTGGCTATCACAAGAGCACTACATTAAGAAGCCATTACAGAGATTCCAGATGGCCAATTCTAAAGCAGTAAGCACTCCTCTTGCAGCTCATTTTAAATTGAGTGTTAAGCAGAGTCCTTCAAATGAAGCTGAGAATACATATATGAGCAGAGTTCCTTATGCATCTGTGGTGGGTAGTTTGATGTATGCAATGGTATGTACAAGACCAGATATTGCATATGCTGTTGGTACAGTAAGTCGATTCTTATCAAATCCAAGTAGAGAGCATTAGAATGTTGTGCAATGGATTTTGAGGTATCTTCATGGTACTAGTGGTTTAAGGCTTTGTTTTGGAGGAGATAAGCCTACTTTGGTGGGTTACTCAGACTCAGATATGGCTGGAGATGTTGATTCCAGAAAGTCCACTTCGGGCTATTTGATTAACTTTGCAGGGGGAGTTGTAGGTTGACAATCAAGGCTATAGAGGTGTGTAACATTATCTACTACAGAGGCAGAGTTCATTGCTATTACTGAAGCATGCAAGGAGTTGCTATGGTTGAAGAAATTATTGCAGGAGCTTGGTTTTGTGCAGGACAAATACCCTCTATTTATTGATAGTCAGAGTGCTATCCATCTTGGCAAGAATCCAACTTTCCATTCTAGGTCCAAACATATTGATGTAAGGTATCATTGGATACGTGATGCTTTGGATGCTAAGCTTTGTTGGAGTTGGTTAAAATTCATATTGATGATAATGGTGCTGATATGATGACTAAAGCATTGCCAAGAGAAAATTTTGAAGTTTGTTGTGAGATCGCCGGTTTAGCAGTTATCTCCACATAGTTGTGAGGGGGAGATTTGTTGGGTATTGGGCTCCCTTCCTATGTGGAGAAAAGACCCAAAATTAAGAAGCCCAAATTTTGTCTCACTTAAAAACCAAGTGGAGAGGGGTCTCTCAGGGTGAAAAAAAGAGAGAGAAAATTACACAACCGTCAGGGAGAGAAAGAAGAGAGAAAGAGAGCAAAAATTTGGTTCCCACACACAGAGCAATTTTAGTAAAATTGCGATCCCCACTTCGTTTACTGTTGGATCAGGCTAGAAATTTGACAGCAGGTTCTTAACACGGTGATCTTCGTTTTGATCGTTGGGATCGTGGATTGGAGGTCTGGTTAGAGAAATCAATTTCGTACAGTTGCTCTAATTTGAGGTTTCTTCTTCTTTATTCTTTAGTTGGAAAGCCTTATTGCTTTAATATATCGGTTGGTTGTAAGCATTGGTTTATGCATTTGATTAGACTCTCTTGTACCCTAATTTGATCATAGTGGAGCTTGATTGACTGACTTATGCCTGTGAGTTTTTACTTCACACATTGAGAGGATTTTTCCACGTTAAAAATATTTGTGTCTCTTTGTAATTATTTTCTGTCATTTATTTATTTTGTTGCTCCTCGTTAATTTTTGCAAGTTGGAAAAATTATTTCTACTGCATATTTTGGTACACTTGATTATTCTGTTGTTATTTCCCCTATCAATAACTTGTATTATTAATAAATTAATAGAAGCATTAACTTATATGCCATATAAAAAAAAGTCATTAATCCACTTTAGAATTAATACTTCATCCGCCCTTATTTATAAGACCATTTTAACTAATTGTTATTCTTTAATAAAAAGTGACTAATTTAGCTAATTGTATTAATTTTGTGAATAATGAGTATTATTTTTCCAAAAATGCCCTTAATTTTTTTTCTCAAAATTAATAATCTCTCTGCTTAATTATTTTTGTAATTATTGTCTCTAATCATTATTATAGCACACTTTTAACCAAATAATATAATTAATATAGGTAATTATGTTAATTAATTTTATAAATTAAAATTGTAATATACTAATTTAACCATTTTCATGGGAAAGATGAAAATATTAAAAATTTGTATCTATACCAATAAAATTGAGAAATGTTAGTCAGAGAAAAAATATTTATCAATTTTTCAAGAAACACACATTCTTATAACATTTAATAGACTAAAAAATAAAAATAAAACTAATATCCTATAAAAGTTGTAAAATGTCTTATAAAAATAATAATATTTTTTTAAATTGTGACTTATAACAAAAATCAAGAAGAGTAATTAATATTTGAAGAGAGAATAATTAATTAATGATATTTTAAGAAAATTATAATTAATATTAATATATTTAGAAATTAGAGAAAGAGTTTTATAAAAAATAATTTATTTTAAAAAGAAGTGAGGTAGTATTTGATTTCTAATAATTTGAAAAAAAATTGTATTATTTGTTTATAATGTAAAGAACTCAGTACTACATATAAAAAAATAATTTATTCAAATTCAAATTGTAAACTAGTAAAATACGAATTAGTAAATTAATTCGATCTAAACACACTCGGAACTTTCTGGAAACAGTTCTTGTTCTCCCAGCTTTCTCTCTCTCTCTCTCTTTGCATACATGGAGTTTTGGGGTAAACACCATTTCTTCTCAGTTCTCACTTCATTTCCTACGCCTCGCCCTGTCTCTTCTGTTTCGGGTTTTTTGTTCTGAGTTTTCCTTCTTCCATATTTTTACTGTGAAATTGTGTGAACTCATCGTTGATTTTTTTTTTCTTTCCATTTTTTGAGGATGAAAAAAGTCCTTTATTTTGGTAGGATGTGCTGAACTTGTGCTTTTGCTAGGTTTATAAGATAATCATGTATTTTCATGCATATATTTTTATATTATTCTATTTGTTAATGTGTATTTTATTATGTGTGGTAATTGTCCTTAGGTTTTTGTGAATTTTGGTTTCTGGATAATATTGGTGCAAATGCGATCAAAGTTTCTATAGTTATAGTTACTTGTTACTCCACTATTAACAATTATCATCCCGACCATCGCGAATGTTATATGCCACAGGTGCCACTTCCGCGGTAATTGTTTATAGGAAACACCCTTGCATCTTCATCGTCTGATTTTTGATATCAATGTCATAGGACTGCTATTCACTTCATAGATCATTTGTCAAATTATTAAGTTTGTGAAAAACTTCATCGCTCTGCCAAATTTTCAGCGTGTTAAAGGATGTAAGAAAAGAGAGAGAAACGAAAAGCCAGAGTAACAGATTTGTAACTGAATTTTATTATATGAAAACTGTTCTGTTTACAATATGTAGAACACTATATATAATACAGCTAAGTATTCACTAACTATAGTTTAGTAAACTAGAGTTAGCAACCCAGAGTCAGTTTGATAACTGCTCTTTACAATACATTCACACACCCCCCCACAAACTTAAGTTGGGTGAGAAGAAAAGGGAAGCTCAACAACTTTAAGTTTGTCTCTCAAAATTAAAAATCTGGTAGAAGAAAGAGGCTTGGTGAGAGCATCAGCCCATTGATCTGAGGCAGGAATATGTTGAACAGTGAGTTGATTGGCAAGAACTTTTTCTCTCACAAAGAAAAGATTAATCTCCATATGCTTTGTTATTGAATGTAGAACCGGATTGTGAGCAAGAGACACCGTGCTTTGATTATCACAGTAGATTGTAGGAGTGGAAAAAGGAACCCTTAATTCATGAAGTAGAGTTTGAATCCATAGAACTTCAGAAGTAGCTTGAGCTAAGCTTCTGTACTCAGCCTCTGTACTTGATCTAGCCACGACAGGTTGTTTCCGAGACCACCACGAAATCAGATTGGGACCAAGAAAAATAGCTGCACCAGATGTTGATCTTCTGTCATCAGGGTCAGCTGCCCAATCAGCATCACAATATGCATACAGTGAAAAGGGTTGATGAACACGAGCTGGTTGAAGATGTAGACCATAGAACATTGTACCCTTAAGATACCTTAAAATTCTCTTGACTGCATTCCAATGACTTTCAAGAGGATGAGCCATAAATTGACAAACTTTGTTGACAGCAAAACTAAGCTCAGGTCTGGTTATGGTTGCATATTGAAGTGCTCCAACAACTGATCTGTAGAATGTAGAATCAGCTAGAGTGTCTGAACCATGTTTGGATAACTTGCAGGATGACACCATAGGAGATGAAATAGCATTGGCTTCAAGCATATTAGTTCTTTGAAGCAAATCTCTGATGTATTTACTTTGTGTGAGAAGAAC